AAGCAGTGGTATCAACGCAGAGTACTTGAGTTGAATATGGTGGTCGCGCGTTCTTCAGCTGCTCATTTGAATATCCAGGTGTCAAGTCTGAAGAGTTAGCTATTCTCTTAACTTGATCCCTCTACCCTTAGTTTCTTTCCTTTGTAATAACATAACAGTTCTGACTGGATTATTTTATCGTTATAACATAAATATAAATATGAGGGAACATAATTGGAGAGGGGACCACCGAGCACCCGGGGAGTGCCAGCTCATCTGAAGTTGGTGACACCGCCCAGTCGGCGAGGGGACTGTCGGACTCTAATTAGTCTGCGTCTCGACACAAGCACCTTCGTAGCTTGAGCTCAGATCTACCTAATTTCCAAATCCAACACATTAAGACCATTAACCAATGTGAACAGATTTGAGCAGTATGTCATACAACCACTGAGGGCGGAATTTCGACGAAATACGCGATTTTTACATTTTGGGCGAAAATTATGAGGACGTCTTTTCGTAGGCTCGTAACTCGGCGAACTTTAAAGACTGGAGCCTGAGCATGCACCTTTTGATAGAACAGTTCCCAGTGATTTTGACTTGGAAAAGCAAGCAGGCTAGTTCTCTGACAAATTCGCGAAAAGTGCAGGCAAATTTACGAACTTTCGTGACTCAGTTACAATCACCTCACAATATCTCTACAAAAAAAACCCTGTTCTTCAAAGACCACTATTTTCGTAAACAGCGTGTTCGAAAACCTCTTTGGGCGAAGTTTCTTTACAATCCAAGGTCATCGACATTTTGACCAAAACCCATCGGCGAGCTTCAGGGCGTAGAACGAGAAAAAATCGAATCACCCAAATTTCTTTGAAAACTTGCTCATAGAGGTTATCTGACGTGCTGATTACGAAAACCACATCTGCTTAGCAGTAGAGCTTCTCATTTTAGGGTTACAGTGGGCAAAATTTGACACAACACGATTTTTCCAGAATTCACCAGCTCTTCTATCTTTTTTGAAAAAGATTCTCCACTTCGTTTTTAGCGCTCGATAATCTGCGGAAGCAACACAATCCAACAGTGCTTAATAGAGCCTTTTATGTTTGATGTGCGCTGCGTTGCGACCTTGTGAATATACGCGCGCAGAAAATTTTGAAAAAATTGAAAACGGAACTTCAAGAACATGCTGTATACAGTAAGATTCGACTTGACAAGATGAACCCAAATCTGCTTTCTGATTTCGAAAATGTTCATTCTAAAGAAAGTTACGGCTAGTAAAACTTGGAAGCTTAATTTTTCCAGAGTTTATCAGCTCTTCTATCTCTTTTGAAAGGGAGTCTTCGGCTGCTGTTTAGCGCACGATAATCTAGTGAAAGAGTACTATCGAACGGTGCCCATGGCAGTCTCCTATGTGTGATGCTTGTTGCGTTACACCCATGCGAAGAGGCGTCGGCATGCAAATTCAAGATTATTGAAAACAAGATATTGGAGACAATCGTATATCGAAAGATTTGCCTTGACGAGCTGAATACAACGTTGTTTTCGGATTTTGAATATACTCATTCGGAAAAAAGTTATGGCCCTGCGTAATTTGCGTGATTCACATGAATTTCGCGGAATTCCCGGAAATTTTGCATGTTCTGTGAGTGGTTTTGTACTATAAGAGATAGAGCGATAAAAACTCACACAGCGTTTTCAAAAGCACATTTCTTATTGTATATCAAAAATGATCCAATTTTGTGTCGTCAGTGATAAATGATAAAATGATGATATCAATGACAACGACAGATAAGAATGGCTTAAATTCATGCGGTCGATTTCCACGTTCATCTTCCATATAGGTACAGAATTTCAGCCCAGGCTTCGGCGTGAAGCGAGTTGAAGCAAAAATGCCATTCTAGGTAAGAATTGGCAGCAGTGGCATGTGCCGAAGAAAAATCGATCGATTGCTGCAGCGAGGGATCTACCAATTGCACCGAGCAATAGAACTAGAAAAGCCTGTAGATCACTTATAATGAGAGAAAGAGCGATAGAAATTCACACAGCTTTTCCTACAGTACTTTCCTTACCATATGCAAAAAATGATCCAAAAATGTGCTATTATCAGTGATAAATGATAAAATGCTTATATCAGCGATAAGGATAGATAAAAACTGCCCATTTTTTCGCGATAGTTTTCGATAACGAGAGCTTCGTACCAGAACCTCCTATACGCGATTTACACTGTGATAAATGTTCACAAAAGCCTTAACGTAGAAAACAACAAGGTATCATTGTATGTCTACCCCGTCACGGACATACCGTATATCAAAAGATTCGTCTCATCAAGCTGAAGCCAAATCTTCACTTAGATTACAAATAAAGCTACTCTAAAAGAAGTTATA